CTCTCTCGTCTCTCTCTCTCTCTCTCTCTCTCTCTCTCTCTCTCTCTCTCTCTCTCTCTCTCTCTCTCTCTCTCTCTCTCTCTCTCTCTCTCTCTCTCTCTCTCTCTCTCTCTCTCTCTCTCTCTCTCTTTCTCGCTCTCTCTCTCTTCTCTTTCTCCCCCTTTCGCCCTCTCTTTCTCTCTCTCTCTCTCTCTAGGCTTTACCGCTTTAGACTTGTATCTATCAGCAGACATTCGTATCATCGGCAGGTATACCGCTATTGATGGCATAGCCCACACGCATTGCTCAGTAGAAAAGCGCTCGTCCTACGTAAAACTCACTCGCAGATAACAATATCAATTGTAGTAAAATACAAACCGTACACACAATAAATAAAGCAGCTGCAAAATACCCTGTACGCGCACAAATCAAACGTTGCAAGTTTTGTTTAAAAATAAATAACATTATTTACTTCTTCTTTCCTTCACTTTTATTATTTTGTATTGCTGCCGGATCTCAACTATGTTACATTTAACATCATGGTCTCTCAAACAGGATTATCATGTTTCAGATTATAGCAAAGCCGCTCGATTCGATTACGCATTATGAGATTTTGCGGAGCGGCGTCAAAATCACACAATATATTCTGGGCGCAGGACACGTCTGTGTAACTTCGTTATCGGTTAATACAATCTTCACGTAACATCTTCGTCGCGTAGGACACTACGAGTTCTGCATTAGCTTCATTATTTAACGAAATTATGCCGGCGTAAAACGCCTTTCCTCCAAGTATCAACTCATACATATTTTTCGCTTCAGTATTATGTGAATATAATTATAATGCTTGCCGAAAAATATGATACTATTTTTAATTCACTGTTGAAAATTAACAAGTTGACGCTTGTTAGTGGAAAAAGATCGATTCTTCACGGACCGAAAATTCGACGCGAGAAATCTGTCCCTAAAATTCTTTTCTACGTAAAAAATAAGCATTACTCTCCAAGTAAAAAAATGTCATACAGCTTATACATCATACATAACTCTTTGCGTATATATTACGGTACTTAACATATCGCACTATGCGTGGCAGGAGTACTTATTCCGTAGAACGTTTACAAGCGGCGACATGCGACAACCACGACTGGCACAATACCATTCCGAGTAATATTATTATTTCTCTGTGCTGTTAAAATTATTGGGAATTAGTGGGAGATGATTTGCTAACGCTCATCGCGAACGCGATTTTAAATCGTTCTTTAGATTTATACACGGCATGTACAACTTTGCTGTCGTCCTTTCGTCGGAGTCGATGTTGTTCCTAAGGGGAGAAAAATAATGGAAAACATTGTAGCATTTCGATAAACTTGACAGACGACACAGTCCAACCGTTATCATTATTTTATCTGTTGAAATATTCAGCATTCTTGATGTGTGGTTTGTGTCGAGTGAAATAATAATATCAGTGAAAATAACATACTTTTACGAATCCACAGAGACGAGAGGATATTTACTTTCTATTTTTTAACTTGCTGTAAAAGGTGTCGCGCGAATAACGTCGTCACTGATAACGCGATAAACCATACAGTTTAAATGTCAAGAGCAAACTGAAATTAACACTTTTCTCTTAAAAGTGTATATAAAGTATAAATAATATTCTACATCTCAATTTTACGCTTAGATGTGAATAGAAAGTGTAAAACTCTTTTGAAATGATAATAAAACCACTTTATTCATAAATAAGTAACTTGAAACACAGTGTAATACGCTACCACTCTTTGGTCTAAGTACGACCGCGTGATGCTTAAACATCGCGGTGGAGTTTGTTACCACGCGGACCGAAAGTGTTAATTACGTTCTAGCCGCGATATCGTTTGCGGTTACTAAGCATGAATTTTAATCCCGATGGTCTTCTCTCTACCCAGTGAGTAAATTTATTTTTTAGGGAAGACCATCGTGACAGTAATGCGTCCGATTTCGAATAAACATTGCGGTTGACATTGCGGTTATAAACGTTGCGAAGTAATTGTAATTGAATTAATCAGTAAAAAAGTAAGTCACGAAGAAAAGTATATAATGATTAAGGGTGCGTTCGGGGAGACGCTATTAGCGCTATTTAGCGCTATCGACTGTTCACGGAGCTAGCTGGTAGTGCTACCAAACGCAATTATGACGTCATTAATGGTAGTGTGATACGTCATAACTACGCGCTATCAACGCTATTCCTTCCGAGGTAGTGTGTTGATAGCGTTAGCGTTTGCGAGCTCCGTGAACAGCAATAGCATAGCGTGGTAGCGCGCTTCTGCTAATAAAAATGGAACAAGATCGTAAATAAACAATATTAACAGCAGTAGCACTTATAATGCAAGAATTAATAGATTCATCGTCTGAGAGTGATGATGGTGAAGAATGAAAAATTATAGAATAGAGTATAAATGTAAGAAAACATGTACCATGTCTCAGCATTAAAAATTAAAGTATCGGCATTTCTCACATTTTCCGTTGAATTATCAGATGAATGTTTGTAACAAAATTTAGGTGTTATTATTTCCAACTAGTTTAATATTGGACAAAAGATTTATAATTGGACTGGATCTTTTGTCCAGCATTTAACGTGTTGAAAATAATAACACCTAATTTTATTACAAACATTTATCTAATAATTCAACGGAAAATGTGAGAAATGCCGATATTTTAATTTTTAATGTTGATACATGGTACATGTTTTTTTACATTCATACTCTATTCTATTATTTTTAAATCTTTACCATCATCACTGTTAGACGATGAATCTATTAATTCTTGTATTATAAGTGCTACTGCTGTTAATATTGCTTTTTTACGATCTTGTTCCATTTTTATTAGCAGACGCACGCTATCACGCTATGCTATTGCTGTTCACGGAGCTCGCATTCATTAGCGCTATCTTGGCTCCGTGAACGGAGCTAGTAGCGTTAGCGTTGATAGCGCGGTAGCGAGCTGCCCGAACGCACCCTAAGAGTCATTACTTATTGTTAGACAAATAACGATCAATACAAAACGTGATGCAAAAATTAATTGAAATTTTCCAATCAGAATATCTTTGTTTTTTATGTCCCCTTATCAGTCCCTTTTTTCTCCTTGAACGTTGTCTCTCATACGAGGAGATACATCCATCTTATAAATCACTACATGGACATTCTCCAGAAAAATGACAAGTTCCTCTGCCCCTGTTTCGAGCGAATCGTCATCATCGCTCGTTTCTAAATCGCCCCCTCTAGAGTCATATAACACGCGAGAACAAACGATGACAATCGTGAGAACTTCCAACTGAACGCCGTAATGGCGTTGTGTGTGTTCCAGCAGCATCCGAACGCGACCAACAGTAGCGAGACGAGCGTGGGTGGCGTGTCGGGTGCGTGCGGAAGCAGCGGCATACCGGCGCCCGGGGAGGCCGGATGCAGCAGCCGGGGTGGCAGCAGTAGCGGTGCTGGAGGCGGTGGCGGCGGCAGTGGCGGCGGCGGTGGTGGCCCAGGATCAGGACAGCGTTGCGACCAGGGCCGTGGCGGTCCGTCTTCTCATACGACACGGGAGAGCCACGCCAAGTTTCGGCACGGTCTGCTGCAGCTTATGATCCATACGATCGATCCGCTCCACGACGGTCAGTCCCGCGCCGGTATACCAACTCCACACTCTATCACTCTCGCTTGCAGCTTATAGCTTATAGCTTGCTTTTCTGTCAGCACGCTGGTTATGCTTAGTGTTTGTTCTTTTTCACACGCGCTATTCTGCGCTTTGCTTGCATAATATCCGCCCGCGAATAACAGAGCGGACACGCGCATGCTTTTTTTACAATCTTTTTGGTTTCTTTCGCGTGCCGCAATGTGAAGAATCATCCGGTCGGTTGATATTAAAAGGTTTTTCAATCAAAAAAATTATCACATTGCGATTTTGTTTTAATTCTACAGAAATTTAGTCTGTCTGATGGAAAGTTTGGCTGTGATAATCAAGTTTCCACAGGATTTTAAATGAACGCTCGATTTGGTCCAATTAAGAATCTTTTGTAGTAAAACGATACTAAATGTAGCGCCCAATCAAGATTTTACGCCAGCACAATACTATCACAACTTTTGACGTCTTAACTTAAAATTTTCAATCATTTTATAAGATTATTGTTTCGCGTAGATAACAACCAGAAATAATTGCAATATAATTATTTATATCAAATTTATTGCAAATTTAAAAATTTTAATCAATGATATAAATGAGTAAGAATCGCGATATATTTGGAAGATCGAATAATTGTGATGCTATTTGATAACGTTTCATTCGCCGCGTGTGTAGTTAGAATAGAATTGATAATAGACGCTTTTGCAATAGTAACGCCGCAGGCAAACCGGCGGCCTTTCGGAAGCTCGTTCCGACGACATATCTTTGAATCAAGTCGCGAAATTTCCGACAACTCGACGGATAAAGTGTAGAACTATGCGAGAACGTTTAATAAAAACCCCGCGGCTTTACGTAGATAGACAGTCAGACTAATATTCAAGATTTTGATCTCATCTAAAATTCTATCATGCGAGGTAAAATTTTATTCTCGCAACTTAAATATCATAAATTTTAACGAGTAAGAGACCGCGCGATTTAGCTTGGTTGATACATTTGCAATTTCTTGACGATGAACAAGTAATAACTTATAAAAGTTTCACGAATTATATTAAGATTATTCTGATACGGAAACATTTTTAATTTATATCATTTCTTTTATATTGTGGATAAAACGAAATTTTCCATTCTGAATGGCCGTAAATTTTATAATTTATAATACTCGTAATTTTCAAGTAACAATTTTATGTTAACACAAGAACAAACACCGTTCCTCTTTAATTAAAAGAACATTTATCGTGTGAAAGACAGCGTGAGCTTGACATTTAAATGAAAAAAAATCACACGCGGAAGCACATTAAGAGAGGAGCTTCCGCAGATTCTTGTCGGAGATTGTCAGCTCAGATACTAGACAGTATTGATCATTTATTGATGTCGCAACGGCATCTGAAAATGTGCATGAAGTACGGACAGTGCACACATTTTCGGGAGGTGCAGTTGATTTGACAGGAGAGTCTCATGAATGACAAACATAGCTCTGTGTATAATATTGTAGTTCCACTTGAGCTTGTTTTTCGGATCTGCACATGCATGTAATGTATCGATTGCAACGGTAAAAAGTTCTAATGCACGCTGCACACTGTAGTTACTTATGATGCTTAAAGAAGAGCATTTCAGTATCTCTCCCGTAATCCTCTCTCCAGTATCTCTCCAGAAACTAAGATTACGTCGATTAACAGATAATATTTGGTATGAAATTAATCTCCTGCTAAATGAACAGGAAGCTTTATCGACATTTCACCTGTATGCGGTATGCAAACCCGATAAAAAGCCTTGATGCAGGAATTTTATATCGAACACCCTTAGAGCTTGATTGGTTTAAATTTTCACCGTGTTCGGGATGCATCCAAAAATAGTTATCGATGACGAACGTGATCGCCGGGTCGTGCCTCGGGTTATAGTCGTTTGTCAATAAATTATTTGATAGAGTTTGGAAGCGTAGGAAGAGACAATGCCGTGATAGTTTTCATGATATTTTCTAAATTATTAGCCCTGAGTCGGTAAACAGTTGACACGCACGTTCAATTAAACTTTTTATATTAATTTGAATATTTCCGTAATGGTCGTTTAAGCTTCTAATTCACTCTATGTTGGTTCAAGGGAAAAGTTCCAGTAGATTTGTTGATTGTAAAGTACGTTTATGTACGTTCTTCGAGCACATTTCCGTTTGCTTCATAAATAAATATTTTCAGGTATTCAACCATCGCCATGCGCTTGCGATTGAATATTTCATGACACGCGCATATGTTTGTCATCACTCTTACAAACACGCGGTGCTCATGGCCATCCTAAATATAAAATATTACCACGCACAATTTTAATCCAGCTGTCTATAATCTGACAAACTATAGCCGAATAAATTCTATGAAAAATTTAGATACAGTTAAACGATGAAAAATTATTTAAGACTGATCATCAGATAAGCTTTCGATTGGTCGTAATCACATTGAGCTTATCAATTAAACTCTAAAGAGCGTAAATGATTTACGACAGTTGGACTATACAGCTAATCGATATGGGTTATTCAGTTCAATCTGACATGTCGAGGTCTGAATGCGTCTTCATTTGTTTGTAATTATCATCATGTATAGGCAATTATAAACGGCTGACCGATTCCTACATAAGCAACATCCTTGCATCCCGGTTCTCGGGTCATTAAATTGCCAATTGTTTCGCAAATGCCGAATAGTGTCCATATTTCCGGAACATTACATCGAGACGCGATTAAACAAATGAGCGATCAAACGATAGAAGCAAGTATTAAGTAAAAGTCTTATTTCAATCTTATTATCAAAGTATGGAAAATTGTGCAAAAGGATAATAACGTATGCACAGTTGCGGTGTATTGGAACGTTGAAAGATTAAGTGCGCATGGATATAAAAGTATATGATGCATATAAAAGTGATTCTTGTGGTGTTCGACAGGAACTAGAAAATAAATGCAAGTCCATAGCGTAATATTTCTCTTTTCTTCTCTCTCTCTCTCTTTCGTTCGCGGCGTGTGCGTTTATAGATCGAAGTGTGCGCGGAAAACCGGGGAACACATTATTTTGCCGCGGCTCCGCGTCGCCGCGCAGTCGCCGCGCAGTCGCCGCGCGTACGCGGCGATATTAACAAAAGCGTGGAAAACACGATAACATTTTCACTTTTTAAATGGCCTGGATTGGCGGATTGATTGCAACGCAACGATACGAATTTTACTCGTCTCACTGAAAACGTTGCGCGCAAATCTTATATTATAATTAGCTTCTAAATTATATTGCTCATCTATCTTGTCGAATGGTTCTTAAAACCACCGATACGATGTTTAAGTTTATTTCCTTTGTCATTAAATAGATTATATTCATTCATTATGTTTGCGTATGTGCAATAAAAAAGAATAAACTTAAAAATGGGAATAAATCATAATTTATAGTACATTTGTCGGTACTCGATGGACAAAAACACGGAGACGGTCGGTCGTAGCTCGCACGAAAGGGTCGTGTCTAATTGATGGTCACCTTTTTCTTTGCCGCGTGACCTGACCCATTTGTGTGACCGTCTTCGACTTACACTGTACGTACACATGACTGCGAAATCAATCCCACGAGATTGCCGAGTACGCTCGCGGATTAAGATTTCTATCTATTGTGCCGTGTGAGAGCTTTCTGTACTTAAATTAGTAGTTAACAAACGCCATCGCACAAATTCGTTTAAAACCTATGGAAAGCAGCAAATACAGTCGTTGTAAAGAATAAGCAACAATTCCCGCGATAATGCATTTGGAAAAGTTTGTGTTTCTTTGAAGTTTTAGTGAAAGTATCATTGGAAAACAGAGAAGCGATATTAGAGAGAAGCAATTATTGATATTCGAAAATTATCGCTAAAAGAGATTGTTTTAGTCGAGCAACAGTTTATCGAAATTATTATATTCCATATAATTTAGATTGCGATTCATCTGGCGTGATAATAAACGTTAGCATGATTCGATAAGGATGTTGGAAAAATGGGCGATGGATAATCGATCTATTGTGTACAGGAAACAGTCGTAATCGATATTATACGGGAAGCAATTCCGTCTTATGCCGATAAACTGCCGTGGATTTTGTTTGATAAAAGTCAGCCTCGATTTTCCTTTCCGTTTATGATAGTTTTATTGTGTTTTGTATTTATATATATAATATTTATATATATATATTGTACATTATTCTTGCATTACTTTTTCATCAAATAATAATTTTTAATAATCAACCTTAATTTTAGTTTTAAACTCACTGTTTTTAATTCTTGCAAATTATTTAAATATAAAATTGCGATAGTTTTACCGATACGTCAATATTATAATATCTCTCATTTAAAAAAGTCGCCAACGATAATCTCGAGAATTATAATTTCATGGGATAATATTTCATCGTAAATTCCAACTTCTCTTTTTTTTCGAATTGTCATGTTCGAGCGTTTCACTCCAACATAATGCACCAATTTAAAATGTACTCACCGTGGAAAAGAGAAGTGCGAAACCGACGCTGACATGAGAACGTCGGGTTATATCGCGCGAAGTGATCGCTGCGGCTGTGCGAGCCGGCAGCAAGTTAATTTGCAGCATCGATCTTCCTCGAGCTGCCGTAAGTGTCCGAAAACGAAATGAAAGCTCGTATATTTGCCCGCTTTTCTTTATGATAGCATTGACCCTTCCGCAATATATTATACAATAACACATGCAATCCTGTGCAGAAATATAATCTTAACGGCGCAATTGAGATATAAAGATAAAATCATAGTCTTTCCATAAATTAAGAAAACTTAATGGCTAAATACTTTAATTAAGTTTGTTCTCAGCTTAATACAGTTGAGAATGAGTTGATTTTATTTATGTCTCTTCTCTTCACTTTCTGTGAAATTATTCTCGACAATTAGCACATCATATATCGTGCGAAATTACTTGAAAGACACAGTTGTGATATTTTCTCGTTATATTCTATGTTATATTGTAATTTGATGTTTGTTCTTTCTACT